CGTTGACCTTTGGAGACATCATTAATATAAATAATTTTTATGGCCGTTAAATAAGAAATGTTTCTTTCACAAGAAATGTATAAAATTACAGTACTAAACAGACGATAGGTCGCCTAACTCGCCGTAGCGTGACGCTAGACGGCGAAAAATATATATTTAATTATAATAAAGTTACAATAAATTAAGTTAATATATAATTATATATACAGTACCTAATTTATATATAATTAATATATAATTATATGTACAGTACCTAATTTATATATAATTTATATAATACTGTCCAGACGATAGAAATCTCTCCGTAGCGTGGCGCTACGGACGGCGGGTAAGTAGTTCGGCTGCCCGATGACGTTTTACGTATTATAGGAGTTATTTTTACCGTTGTTTACGGATAATGCCACAATTTTTATAGGAATCATAACTATAGGAAACGGTTTTATAGGGGGATCTACTGTATATCTATTATTAATGTAAGAATTATACCATTTATATATAAGTTGTCGTGGGTAGTCGTTCAATAAAAATTTTTAAAAAACATTTTTAACTTCAATATCTGTATGATTTTGTAATGATGTTCTATTATATATTTTTTGTAATTTCATTAAAAACACATTTCGTTTAATTCCTCCAGAATAATATGATCTGTAGTTGATCACCTTATTGTTGTTACATATCTTTTCGTATTTACGGAACAAACTATCCGAAAAATTTTCTATTTCAAATAGAAAATTCAAAATCATTTAGAGAAAGAAACAGGGTGGTTCATAAAAATGGAAACACCCTATAACTGAAAATGTGTTTATGACAGTGACACTTGTTACTAGTGGATCGTGTATGATAATGGGTGGCATTTTTATCGACCTTGAAGCTCTTCTTGAATGCCATTCAAATATTATCTTATCTGAAATAGCAGATATACGAATTTCCTAATTGTAGCCAGCCCACCAGTGGCCGGGTGGATAAAACCACTGAACATCGATAGTTGGTCGTGGGTTTGCGTCTAGCCAACGAGGAGTTCTCTGGATTTTCTTCAGGTTTGTAATACCTAAACAGGCGCTAGATTCTCATAGAAAGTCCTCCTGGGAACCAATTCTTTTAGCAGATCGCCCACGTGTCGCGTTTATACAAACAAACGAACTTGAATGATGGAGATTTTTATTACGCCTACAGACGTACTGTACATTGATTTTTTTTATTTATTTATTTAAACGTCGTTAAATCGAATTATTGTACGTGTATGAAACATCCTCTTAATAGTCAAGGGAAGTCTTATTTACTTTAGAGGATCCCGATATATTATAAAAACAGCATTAATATTTGTTACTTTTATGTCTTTCTTTCCATGGGTTCTAAAAAGGCTTTCTTCCGGCCCATTTTGGATAGCCAAGGCAGAAAATTGGTCAGCCTACCGCTATCGAATACGGATGGGTCAAAAAACTCCAGGAATTTTTCATGGGTGATGAGAGACCAACAATGCCACAAACGCCCTATTATGGATTCGACCATAACCACAATGAGTATGGAAAAAGTGCACACAGGGCGGAAAGAAGAAAACACAACCCGGTTGCCCTCATTATGGACTTGGCCCAATTCATAATGGGCAAAAAGAATCTCTTAGATTTTTTTTTCATTTTTTATTTTTTTTTTCCTATTGGTACTGAAGCTAGGACCAAACGGGCCGATTCTTTTTAATAAGATCTTGTATAAAATACGAGGACATTTTAGTTTTATAAAATTTATTTCGTAGATCAAAGATAAATTTTTTACGATTTTTTCCATTTCACTTCTTACCTGTATAATTTATCAAGTAGAAAGCGTTATCAACACATAAAATTTTACAAATTATACATTACGTATTCAACAACAATGTATACTTTCAATACAAATTCGATAAATTATATATCTCAACGGATATCTGTTACTTGATCGATAAGATAATCTAATTTTCACCTTCTAAATCAACTTCATTAATTATTACGAAAGATATGCACGTAGAGAGCTATAAATTGAGGTCATTGATATACAATCGCAGTAAAGATCGATCACAATCTTTACAAGAATGTCTATCAGATTGAATTGCAATTGCCATGGAAACAACATCTCAAAATGTGATCCAATGTTAAGAAAACAATCCCTCAAAAAACAATCGATTATTGAGGAATTGCTTGCTTGCATCGTTGAGTGTGTTATATCGCAATCGCAAAAATCCTTGTAAGCAATTTATTTTGATAAGCAATTGCAGCAATCCAAGCCAGCAAATCCTACAAGGAACATTGAAATCCAGTTTGTAATCGCAATGGCAACTATAAATTTCTTACTTAATCAATTACTACAATTCGCTTCGGGATGAAGGATTGAAACAGAAGTTGGAAGCCACGAAAAATCTCGCATTTTTATATAAATACGTCAAACCAGAGCGATTCTTTGCAAACGTTTTAGAGATTTCATATTAATAATGCGTTAAAAATAAACAATAAAGTAATGTAACAATTGGAAAATGTGGAAATTTTAATACCATCAAAGACTACAATTAACATCTGTAATTTGTGGCAGTACACAGAAGAATAAAATTTCACAATATTCAAATAACCAGAATATTTATAACAATTTTTTCAGAGAAATTATATAGATGTATATATATATATATATATTTACATGCTTATAATCACTTCGGAAAAATAATGATTTGCGTTAATTGCGGGAATAACAGTGTTCAATTTTAAAAATCATTTTTATAAATAACACATTTAACAATTAGAAACAAGAAGAAAGAAATATATATTTTTTTGACATTTAAACACTTTTCAAGAGATATATACCATGTAAAATGTAGTGCTGATGTGAAGAAATATGCAAAAATCAGAGCACTTTGGCAGGAAATTATATGTTCAACGTTCACGCATATACCTTAATATATCACATTATTATTATTATATATATTTTTTTTTCCAAAAAATTGAATGTTGTACAGTATATAGAATACAATAAATTTACAGACAAACATCCAATTAACAACAGTAAAAATTTTTTTTTATAGTTTCAGCTGCATGAAGAAGAGGCAAGATTATATATAACATGTGCTGATGATGTTTTTCTAAGGCATCAGGGGAGAAGCGGTGCTATATTTAGGTCCCTGTAATGTAATTTTGTATTTTTTTTTTTTGCTAAATTAAGGCACCCCTCATCATCTTAATCAATAAATTTTTGCACGATGATCACAGCTGCTCCTCTTCTTGATGATCTCAATGTATCATCGTGAGATGGTCATCGTAATCAGTGATATGTAGATATGTGGATTATCTAAATTTAAATTAATTTTAGCTGGTAAATTTGCATTTCTACATTCGTTTGTGTAAAAATTAGCCGAGTTTTTTTTTAACAGAAATAGATTTTTGTACGCCATTTTTTTTTCTTTAATATAAAAAAAAAGAGAGAAGTCCAATTTTCCATAAAAATCTCTCTTTGTTTCTTTGTTTCTTCTTGCAGAAACCAGTTCGCCAAGGCCAAGTAATTGAAAAGATGATTGTCTCATCGAGCATTTTTTCTTCTTTAATAATGGTTGTATATATTTTTATCACAGACTTTTTTTTCGATCAAGTCGACTCTGTGGATTCCGCTTTGATATGAGAGTAAGGAAACAATTGATACCATCCAACGGTTAATTTAGAAAGCTCCAGTTTATCTAACTGGATTTCGGTAGCACCAAGTGCTTGATTGTGTTCAAATCCTTTCTGTCTCTCCCAGATCATTACCTTAAGGAAACAAAAAAAAAAACAAAATTAAATTATTTTCAACAGAATTAAATGTATAATTAAAGAAGAAAGTTAAAATTTAATTGTGTTTAACATTCTGTTCTTTTCCCACTATTTTTTCCTTTACTTCATATGTTTGTCTGCTAGATATTTTAAAAATTAAAATTGAAAAAAAAAAAAAGTTTCTTGGCTTAATTTCATATCAAATGACACTCACGTGTGCCACCTTCATTAATCTTAAACATGGCACTCCTTTCTTAGAAATGTTCACTAGTGGTCGAATGGATAAAACCGCTAAACACTGGTAGTTGGTTATGCTTTTGTAAAGTATTTTGGTTAATGGAATTTAAAAAATTACGATAAATTACCAAAAGTGTTCTTCCGAATACTTCCGAAGCGTTATATTTTAATGTTTGTCTATACTGTGGATCGGTGCTATGTCGTGCCACCTTTGTCTTCCTCTTCTGCATTTGTCTATCTTCATCTTTTAGATATGTCTTCACGTAAGTATCTAGAGGAGAAACAAAAAAGATTTTCTTGTAATTTAGTAATTTATTATCAGGAATTACGAAAAAGAACAAACTTACCTGGAGGATTTCCATTGCTGTTGTTAGCGAGACCCTTTGCACAGACTACATCGACTTCTAGTTGACCCTTAGTCATAACAAATCCCAATTTAATCTCACCTAATTTTGGTGCTACTAAGAAGAAACAATTGAAAAAAAAATCTTCAATGTAAGAAATTAACAAGTAAAACGATTTTAAATTAATGTTTTAAATTCTTACAGGCATTCCCAGAAAATCTTTTTGGTATGATTTGTCCAGGATTTCTATTTTGTGTATCACCCGTATCGCTGTCAGGGGTCAATTCTGGACTGGATAAATTACTCACGCGTTGCTCAGGAGGAACTATCAGACTTCCTGAAAAATTCAAGGATCGAATCGTTAAAAAATATTTCTTAACATAGTTTTTCGTGAGATATGCCATGAAGAATAGAATGGATTGAAATTTCATTTAGTCAAGTTGTTAGAAGTGATACAGGATCGTTGCTAAAATTCATATATGAATCGAGAGAAGGGTGATAGTCGAAGGCACACACACATACACACACACTTATCTTTTTTTTTTTGTTCATGCAACAGAGATGGAAGCAGAAGATGACATAATTACACAATGGACATCGGCACGATTCTACTGAACTACTTGATCCTACCTAGAGCCACAGACCTCTTGTCTTTGTCAGACTTTAGACTTAACGTTCGAGATAATTTCCTTCTCACTAATTGTCCTAGCTTCTTGTGATCACCTGCGAAGAGAAAAATTATATGAAATGTCAAACGTATTTATTTCTTGTAAGCTATTTTAAATTATTTCTAAAGTTTACCTTTCTCGGAATCTGAATCTGCTGATCTGTAAACACGAAAACTGGCACTCCGAACTCTTTCTTTAACCTTAGGACCTGTACCATAAAGTTCTGTAAAGTTTTAAAAAATAAAGATTATAAAAGTGTAAGAAATTAAGAAGGATGTTTCATCTGGAAAGAGAACAATTAATATGTAAGGATGTAATACTAAGAATGTAAAATATTGTGAAGATATAAAAGCGTATTTTTCTCGACTGTATTTAGTGTAGAGAAAGGATAAAATATAGAATAAAAGTAGTAAAAGGATGTAATATGTAATATAAATTTCTCGTTCTTTAGGTACGTATGGATAAAACGTGAGGAGGTGCACAAAGTTAAGAATGTAAGATGTAATACAAATATTTTATCCTTTATCAATATACGTCTTAAGTGTATATCTTACATCCTTACATTTCTTAGAAAAAAAGGATAAAATGTAAGTTATGACAGAAGTGTAAGGATAAAATATAACAAAAAAAAAATAGATGCAATATGGAATTTTCGTTTATCCGTACGTGGATAAAAGATGAAGTGTTTGTATTACACCATACATCCTTAAATCTGTGCTCTTTTCTCATTCTTTATCCATATATTCATAAAGGATAAGAAATTTATATTACATCTTTATACCGTTCTATCCTACAATAATCACTCCGAGAGGAACCTATTTTATCCTTACTTCTTTGCACTCGCTTATCCTTTATCCATTTATAAAGAATGAGAAAGGCATAAATTTAAGATCAATACAATACGATGAGGGGTAAGAATGCACGAGGTAAAGCAAGTGTTTACGGAGTTTACTGTAACTTATAAAGAATGTAGACGCATTCACTTCCGTTTCCGTCTCTTGGGAGAAGCAATTTAAAATATGTAATTTGAGATCTTCTTTATTCGTGATTATGTTAATTGCGATAATTAAATTAACACATTGATTGATGGTAAAGTGTAGGGGGAAAAAAAGGAAGATAACGCGTGTTAAGATTGGTAGAAGTATCGATTCAAGAAGAATTTAATGACGAGGAAGTCTTCCGGACATTATCGATTCGAACGAACTCCATATTAGTTAAAATAGCTGCCGGTAAATCACAGGAAGTGAAGTACTAGTATGATTTTCCCCCCTTTTTTTCCATTCTAAAGAATGCTAAACAGCTGTTTCGACTTATTTGTAATGCTACAGGATATAACTGCAACTTTTTTCTTACGTAAAATTAAAATAACGATGACAAGAAAATAGGAATTAATACATTTAAATCTAAGACGATACCTTTTAATTATGAGAAAATAATTATTTTTTTTTTCTAAACTTCTGGTAATACTAAACATTCTTGCAATACACGGATGTAATTCGAGTGGCTTTGTATGCATTGAGTGAAACGTGGAGTGCAAATTATGCGGGTTCGTATTTACCGTATAAATTTTCGTCAAAGTTTTATAGTTTTAGTATATATCTGTCCTATAAGACGATCCCCAAACTATCAATGGCCTATGAATTTAATTTGGATCATCAATTATCATCTGGATAATAATACATTACTGTATAGCAGGGATGTCCAACCCGCGGCCCAATAAACGTGTAAACAAAACCGATAAATGTTTTAATTTTTTTATTTATTATTTATTTATTTCAACGGCATAAACTCAAAAAAGAAGTTTCACAAAGCCGTAAATCTTTATTCATATTTTATTTTTGAGTTGAAAGGAAATATTTTCAAATACTTTGAGATGTGTGTGAATGAGGAAGGATTACTAAATAAAGCTGGAGTTGTGACTCAAAGGATTATAGACCCAAATTTGGAAAAGGAGAGAAAGGACAAAAGATAAAAAGTAGTGATAAAGATTAAATAGATCTTCTGTTATGCAAAATATTGACCCTTAATTTTCTAACCTTTCTCACTACTTTTTACTATTATAAATATATTATTCGAATAAAAATGCACTTTAAAATAGTGTTTCGTCGCTTTTTATTAATTAATTAGAGACTCAAATAAAATAAATATTTGTGTTTTTCAAATAACTTTTTGTTTGTCTCTTTTATAATAAATAAATTTATCTATTTTTAAATAAAAATTGAAAGTGTCTGTAAAAGTAATTTTTTAAATATCCTTTTTTTGTGATAAAGTTTTAATATTTATTATTATAATCTAGACATGTTAATCCTTAAATATACTTGTATATTGGGCCATAAGTATATATTATATATATATATAATTACGGTTTTTCTGTTTTTTTATAATGATTTTAATTTATATAAATTTCAATTCTAAGACTATCGTGTTTAATTATTTAGCCCACGCGACTATGCCGGCTTCGAATAGCCCAATTAACTATTCGTAGAGTACTTGATGTTATATAGTTTTAGGGGATGTGGGAGCTTGCCCCATTCGGGTGCTGAGGTGCGAGTAATAGCGAGCTCCGAAGCACGCGGAACATGGAAAATAGGCAGTAGTATTGATTCCAGGTATAAACTGTTTTTCGGTCATTAGAAGTTAATACATTTATTATTTGTTATGTACACTGATCACAGTATCTATAACATAACTTGCTTGCAAGCAAGATGGCTACCGAAACTGCCGCCATTGGGTTCCACATTTGGAGACGAATATCTTGCAAAGGGTCAGGTGTCGGACTTTTCTGTATTTTTTTCCGATAAATATCGTTAGAATGTCTGATCACCATGCTGTACTAACTGTTAAACACGCAGCGTGACTCCCTGTACTGCGCCTGGAAGTAGGCTTTAGGCTGATTTCGGAGAGCTATACATCGCGAAGGATCACATTTAGAGGTATGGTTCCTTTGAATTTTTTGCTTCTAAGGGCATGCTCTACGACTCTGTTAAGGTCCCTACAGCGTCATTCACATCCGCAATCTTATCCGAAAATCAGTTTCGTCGTATGAAACGTGCAGTCGAATATCAATATATTATATTGTTCAGCTACGCGCGAGAAAGTACTAATAGTGGCATTTCGGGTTTTCTGGAGGGCGATGTTAGACTTCTAGGATTGGTAGAATGTAGATCGTATTGTCATAGGAAGTCGCGGATCCGGGGAGGACTGTAATGACTGCAAGTTGCATCCACACAAAAGAAAAATTTATTTGAAACGTCCAGAAATACAAAAAGAAAATTGTGTTTTTTCTGTACCGTATGCATGAATGTTAGTGTATGGCAGAAGGCAAGATTTTGTTTACCCAGTTTGAAGTTTAATAACTCCTGTGCCTTTTGTCGAAAATTTCTAAAATTTTTCAGGAATGTTTGTATATTAGGGCATCGATGCTATTAAATTTTGGTGGTTAAAGGTCAAGCGATGGTATGGACAGATAGAGTGGTGCCTTGCTGAATTATTTTGAGTTACCTCTCGTTTTGGGTACTTCTGGATCCGCTACTGATTATAGATTAAACTCTGATTCTAATTGACTACGTGTGATGTATTTCGATACTTATTCCTTTATATACGTTTGTGTCGAAAAATTGAAATAAAAAAATTATATCTAAATCATTTAAATTAAAAACAAGAAAATGTATTAAGCATTATCATAAATTTTTGTACAGAAAATAATTAATTCGGCGTATGGTTGTTCCTTGTATGCACACACTGTGACACCCAACATCTACTGTTTTGAAATCGTGCCCAAAATCTAGATATGACGTTCTGTGTCGCATTAAAAGTCCTAGACACACCTCTCTGAGACTGACCTGCTTCTAACCATCCAATAATTTTTTCTCTCGTAAAAATTAATGCCACAACGATTGCACATTGTCTTTGTCATTATTATAAAGTAAAACGGTAACAAAATTATACTCTATAAGTTAAACGATTATGATTGTTTTTGGGTGTATAAAGATACATAACTGTATAGCTGAAAGTACGTATAAATATATATACATACGCGCAACCACACGTTTATACCGGTATATATTTGTCTATATATAAACAAATGATCTTAGAAAACATACATTTATTTAAAATCTCAATTCTTCTATATTTCAAACACGTATAGGAACACTCCTGTATTTATTTTGCCTTTTAAACTATTGGGAACAGCCATTTTTCATTCTTCCTTCCATTCGTATAGCATTAAAAATTTTGATACCACATTTATCATCGCGAGAAAGAAAAGAAAAATATTAAAAAAAAGAAGCACTTACGCCTCTTTCTCTTCGGTCACGACATCATTAAACTTTCATGAGAAGTACATATCAGTTTAAAGCAACGGTAAAAACGACAAACGAATATTTACAATAATACATAACACGAAGAAAAGTTATCAAAAGGAGTAACTCTTTTTTCTAATTATCTCTTGAAATGTAGAGAGAGGAAAAGAAAGAGAGAGCATCTTTAAAGGAAATGTACCTGGAAGACTGTCCTGAGATACCAAATTGTTGGAGCTTCTTCTACTGGGAGGGGTAGACTTCACTCGAGTGACGACGGACGGCGCCGATGGCTTTCTTTCCTGATTGCCGCTGCTAGGTTGCGTCGGATGACGATCCCAAGCATCATCCGGATGCAGCACTACCAAAATAATGTAGGAATGCATAAATAAAACAAATATATATCGAATTTTAAACAGACAAAGATGACTCACGCGTTAGATCCATGGAAGAGCTTCTTTGCATGTTTTTATTCTCTGGAGGAAGACTGCTCTCATCTTTAATTTCATCTATTTGTGTATAAAAAGTTGAATTTATTAACTAATTTAAACACCAGTACTTCTTTTCGGTGTTAAAGATTACCATAAGTTAGCGATTGGGAATATTCTTCAGTACCACGCTGCAGCATCCTTCGAGCAATATCGTGTGCTGGTGTAGAAGGTACCAAACTTGGGGGTGTTATTTTGTGAGTGGGCGATAAAGCGACGGGAGTTTGTTGGTGGGCAGAAAGGGGGTACCATTCGGGACAGTCTTGAAGATCCGCTTTACGTAGAGGTAGCTGTAACTCTCCTAGAAAAACGTTGCTACCTAATGGACAGTGGTCCCAGATGGACAGTTCAAACACCGATTCCAGGATCTAAAAATGCGTATAAATATATAAATCACTAAAAGATTTAAAAGAAATTTAATTGAAAATATTAATATATAAAATGGTTTAATTGTTGGTGAAATATATTTATAATTTCTTCCATAAAACGAGAAAACAGCGGCCTATGAAAGTGGGTAGGTAAACTAACCAGAATATTTCAAAAAAGTGTTTAATTTATTATATAAAAATTATAAAAATATAACAACATAAACTCTATCATATAAAATGCAAGCATCTTTATATATATTTTATACAAAATTTAAATAGAAAATATAAATACAAATTTTTATGATCCTTAATCACTTAGATTTGCTTAATTTATATACGACCGCTACTAATTTATGCTTGATGCTTCATCTCAAATTTCCTCATTTAATATAGATTTATGTTAAAAACTTACATCATCCGAAGTTACTTCCGGAAATATAAAAGTTTTACTCCATTCGGGATTACAAGTAGGTTCTGCTACAGCAGTCTTCATGGTATTGTAAGCACTAGTAATAATAAAAAAAAATGTGGCGTAAATTATATTTCCTTTCTAACACTTTTATGTAAATATTTGAAGTACATACGAGTGAGGGACCAAGCGAATTTTAGCAAATGCTCTAGGGAGTGCAGCAGAGGAAGACTTTCTTCTCCTTAACCCTCTTGCTGCTAGAACTGTCACAACCAGATCGTTTCCATCTTGGTTATACCAGATTTGTACTCCTACTTCACCACAAACCGTACTGTGTTGTTGACCCAATTGATCCTATAACAGTAAATTGTACAAGAAGATTACTGTTATGTACCGTATCTTATTTTCTATCTGTAAGAACGATACTAAGACAATCGATAAAAGATAAAAGTTAAGAAAGAGAAGAATTTATGACAATATAGTGTACTGTACTGTAGTACATCACCTTCATTAAATTAACGAATAATGATACTTTACCGGAGTTTTTGGCAGTTTTCTTCTAGTCGGAGAGACAACTGACACATCAGATTCTTTATAACCTTCTAGAAAAGAGAATATATATATTAATTCGTTCTTTACAAAGAAAGGAAAATATTGAAAGAACTACAACTCTTACCAGTCGATATAATTAACTTGGGAGCTATTTTTGTCTTAATCGAAGAAATTGAATCGAAACTTTTCCTGAAAAATTTAAATTATTATATTTTGAAGCGTATTTTGACTTAAAAATTCGAATTATTTCATCATTGGAAGAATGCAACTACTTTATTTCACCCCTCTGAATTGTAATATTTCATACACCATACGCTGGAAACTATTCTTCGTGGTTTTAAAAATACTTAAATTTCCAATTTTGTATTTAAAGAATTTATACGAAATGCATTTGTTTGTCAACACTTTTGTTTGGTATACAAATGTATGTATTGTGTAGCAAACAAAAGTGTTTTCGTACGAATACACCCATTCATAATAGGAGATTTTTTTTATTATTATGGAAATCTACGAAACGAACTATCGTTTCGTAGATTTCCATTAAAAAAAATATGCTTTAGGCATATTTCTGTGGCGTTACGAAAGAAAAATGTGTAGAATTACATATGTATAATACGCACATTTGTAAGGAATTGTATTAAAAATGTTAGATATCAGACATAGGATTTGAAAAATATGGTCGTTACTTATCCTTGATATATGACTTAATAAAAATTTTTATATTACAATACAAATAAAAGCATTTAATTCTTATTTTTCAATTAAAATATTTGAGAAAATTAATATTTTTATCGCGTTGTATAACTATTAAAATTACAGATAAAATATTTTCCTACGTTTTTAAGCAAAGGGAGACAAATTATGTATCATAAAAACACTAGGCATTAAGAAAAAGGAGAGATGAATGATGTTGCTACTAAGGAATTGATATTGGAATTTTAGAATTCTGTATTAAAAGTCAATATTTAAAATTACCTGTATTTCAAATATTGATTTTTGATATAGATATAAATATTGGTTTGATAAGTACAAGCGTACGTACAAAATAGATATTATTTCGTGACTTATTTGCTTCTAACTTAGCGATGCAACAGACACTGCATTGAGATCTGTTTTTATTAACTTAAAAACCAATAGACCTGTACACTTTTCCTATATACTGTCCTTGTTCGTGTTTGTTTCTCTTTCAGTTAATGATTCGGGGGCTTCTTTGTTTATGTACTACAACTACAGTTTAAAGGATCGAGCAATGGCATAAGCAAGCAACGACGAAAGATGAATTGTGTATGCTTACTAGTCTTTTGCAGTTTTTCTTCAACCAGTCTTATGTCCTTAGATATTTCTATTTTCTGCTGACAACAGAAATATTTGTCTAAATATTGAGTCAGCATAAAACTTTTCAACCCCTGACTGTATATACACTACACCAGTGTTTTCCTATCTGTGGGGCGCGATACTATTGCAAGGAGGCGTGCAGCTTTTACCAAATTATCATTTTTTAATACAAACAAACAAAAAAAGTCAAATCGATGTCGAAAATATATAATATGAAATATAGAATGAATATACTTTATCTTCATTTTTTTGCTCTCCGCCCTCTTCTATCATGTCAATTATGGGTTTGGCCAGGCCCACATAGGGGTGTGACATATCAGAGACAGACCGCCATTAAAAACTATTTGGGGTTGCTCGCCCGGTTTCGATCCCGGGTCTCAACCATCTAACCCATCCGTCTGTCAACTTAATTAGTTGGATCGAGACGTCATTCTTCATCTATTATGTATTCTAGCTCTTTGTGGGTCAAGCACTATAATAGATAAAACTAAGAACCACTATACTACAATGGGTATCATTGTAAACTAATCTCTCACTTTAATATATTCAATACAGTAGGGTCACATATACATACTGTATAACAGGAGAATATAGACGTATTTCCTCTTTTCCTCAGCCTATTTGATAAGAGTAGAGATTAAATTGAGTTACGTTATTATATAATAAAATTTATATACATACGTTCTTCCTGAAACCTCAACCAATAATTCAACCACATCACTAGATCGTTCCATAATGGATGATACTTCTTCATAAGTCTTATCCGTTAAGCATTCCGTATTCCATTTAATTATTTTATCACCTGATCAATAAATAATAGTAATTTCGAAGTGACGTAATTTTAATTAATTCGTTTTTTACAGATATTTTTTAATAATTTACCCGGTTTTAAGCCATGTTTCTCTACAGCGCTTCCAGGAACTATCCACGAAATCTGTGCGTAAAGTCGTCCATCGTCACCGTTTTTTCCTCCCATAACCCTCATACCGAAACCTTTGGCTATTAAAGAAATCTTTAATTATTAAAAATGATATCGAATTCCATAAAATATTCTGAAAAATTAAAAATGAATTCATATCGATGCTGCTCTCTAAGACAGCGGCAACTACTGGAAATCTGCTTACTACGAGCACCTTCGTCATCGGGATCACGACGAATTAGAATATTTCTTAGATACGTCTGTCGTCCGTAACGTCCTGAAAGTCAAAATATAAAAATAAATATCTTAATATTTATAATAAACTATAAAAATCTGTATAAAATCATCAGCATAAATACAGTCGACCCCCTATAACACTGTTGATTTTTCCGTTTTATATGAATTCCGTGTTGTACGAGTCACTTAGATTTTACAAATACGTGTGCCGGGCTGTGAACGGTTCACGTATTTGTAAAATCTAAGTGACTCGTACAACACGGAATTCATATAAAACGGAAAAATCAACAGTGTTATAGGGGGTCGACTGTATTTATGCTGATGATTTTATACAGATTTTTATAGTTTATTATAAATATTAAGATATTTATTTTTATATTTTGACTTTCAGGACGTTACGGACGACAGACGTATCTAAGAAATATTCTAATTCGTCGTGATCCCGATGACGAAGGTGCTCGTAGTAAGCAGATTTCCAGTAGTTGCCGCTGTCTTAGAGAGCAGCATCGATATGAATTCATTTTTAATTTTTCAGAATATTTTATGGAATTCGATATCATTTTTAATAATTAAAGATTTCTTTAATAGCCAAAGGTTTCGGTATGAGGGTTATGGGAGGAAAAAACGGTGACGATGGACGACTTTACGCACAGATTTCGTGGATAGTTCCTGGAAGCGCTGTAGAGAAACATGGCTTAAAACCGGGTAAATTATTAAAAAATATCTGTAAAAACGAATTAATTAAAATTACGTCACTTGGAAATTACTATTATTTATTGATCAGGTGATAAAATAATTAAATGGAATACGGAATGCTTAACGGATAAGACTTATGAAGAAGTATCATCCATTATGGAACGATCTAGTGATGTGGTTGAATTATTGGTTGAGGTTTCAGGAAGAACGTATGTATATAAATTTTATTATATAATAACGTAACTCAATTTAATCTCTACTCTTATCAAATAGGCTGAGGAAAAGAGGAAATACGTCTATATTCTCCTGTTATACAGTATGTATATGTGACCCTACTGTATTGAATATATTAAAGTGAGAGATTAGTTTACAATGATACCCATTGTAGTATAGTGGTTCTTAGTTTTATCTATTATAGTGCTTGACCCACAAAGAGCTAGAATACATAATAGATGAAGAATGACGTCTCGATCCAACTAATTAAGTTGACAGACGGATGGGTTAGATGGTTGAGACCCGGGATCGAAACCGGGCGAGCAACCCCAAATAGTTTTTAATGGCGGTCTGTCTCTGATATGTCACACCCCTATGTGGGCCTGGCCAAACCCATAATTGACATGATAGAAGAGGGCGGAGAGCAAAAAAATGAAGATAAAGTATATTCATTCTATATTTCATATTATATATTTTCGACATCGATTTGACTTTTTTTGTTTGTTTGTATTAAAAAATGATAATTTGGTAAAAGCTGCACGCCTCCTTGCAATAGTATCGCGCCCCACAGATAGGAAAACACTGGTGTAGTGTATATACAGTCAGGGGTTGAAAAGTTTTATGCTGACTCAATATTTAGACAAATATTTCTGTTGTCAGCAGAAAATAGAAATATCTAAGGACATAAGACTGGTTGAAGAAAAACTGCAAAAGACTAGTAAGCATACACAATTCATCTTTCGTCGTTGCTTGCTTATGCCATTGCTCGATCCTTTAAACTGTAGTTGTAGTACATAAACAAAGAAGCCCCCGAATCATTAACTGAAAGAGAAACAAACACGAACAAGGACAGTATATAGGAAAAGTGTACAGGTCTATTGGTTTTTAAGTTAATAAAAACAGATCTCAATGCAGTGTCTGTTGCATCGCTAAGTTAGAAGCAAATAAGTCACGAAATAATATCTATTTTGTACGTACGCTTGTACTTATCAAACCAATATTTATATCTATATCAAAAATCAATATTTGAAATACAGGTAATTTTAAATATTGACTTTTAATACAGAATTCTAAAATTCCAATATCAATTCCTTAGTAGCAACATCATTCATCTATCCTTTTTCTTAATGCCTAGTGTTTTTATGATACATAATTTGTCTCCCTTTGCTTAAAAACGTAGGAAAATATTTTATCTGTAATTTTAATAGTTATACAACGCGATAAAAATATTAATTTTCTCAAATATTTTAATTGAAAAATAAGAATTAAATGCTTTTATTTGTATTGTAATATAAAAATTTTTATTAAGTCATATATCAAGGATAAGTAACGACCATATTTTTCAAATCCTATGTCTGATATCTAACATTTTTAATACAATTCCTTACAAATGTGCGTATTATACATATGTAATTCTACACATTTTTCTTTCGTAACGCCACAGAAATATGCCTAAAGCATATTTTTTTTAATGGAAATCTACGAAACGATAGTTCGTTTCGTAGATTTCCATAATAAAAAAAATCTCCTATTATGAATGGGTGTATTCGTACGAAAACACTTTTGTTTGCTACACCATACATACATTTGTATACCAAACAAAAGTGTTGACAAACAAATGCATTTCGTATAAATTCTTTAAATACAAAATTGGAAATTTAAGTATTTTTAAAACCACGAAGAATAGTTTCCAGCGTATGGTGTATGAAATATTACAATTCAGAGGGGTGAAATAAAGTAGTTGCATTCTTCCAATGATGAAATAATTCGAATTTTTAAGTCAAAATACGCTTCAAAATATAATAATTTAAATTTTTCAGAAAAAGTTTCGATTCAATTTCTTCGATTAAGACAAAAATAGCTCCCAAGTTAATTATATCGACTGGTAAGAGTTGTAGTTCTTTCAATATTTTCCTTTCTTTGTAAAGAACGAATTAATATATATATTCTCTTTTCTAGAAGGTTATAAAGAATCTGATGTGTCAGTTGTCTCTCCGACTAGAAGAAAACTGCCAAAAACTCCGGTAAAGTATCATTATTCGTTAATTTAATGAAGGTGATGTACTACAGTACATTACACTATATTGTCATAAATTCTTCTCTTTCTTAACTTTTATCTTTTATCGATTGTCTTAGTATCGTTCTTACAGATAGAAAATAAGATACGGTACATAACAGTAATCTTCTTGTACAATTTACTGTTATAGGATCAATTGGGTCAACAACACAGTACGGTTTGTGGTGAAGTAGGAGTACAAATCTGGTATAACCAAGATGGAAACGATCTGGTTGTGACAGTTCTAGCAGCAAGAGGGTTAAGGAGAAGAAAGTCTTCCTCTGCTGCACTCCCTAGAGCATTTGCTAAAATTCGCTTGGTCCCTCACTCGTATGTACTTCAAATATTTACATAAAAGTGTTAGAAAGGAAATATAATTTACGCCACATTTTTTTTTATTATTACTAGTGCTTACAATACCATGAAGACTGCTGTAGCAGAACCTACTTGTAATCCCGAATGGAGTAAAACTTTTATATTTCCGGAAGTAACTTCGGATGATGTAAGTTTTTAACATAAATCTATATTAAACGAGGAAATTTGAGATGAAGCATCAAGCATAAATTAGTAGCGGTCGTATATAAATTAAGCAAATCTAAGTGATTAAGGATCATAAAAATTTGTATTTATATTTTCTATTTAAATTTTGTATAAAATATATATAAAGATGCTTGCATTTTATATGATAGAGTTTATGTTGTTATATTTTTATAATTTTTATATAATAAATTAAACACTTTTTTGAAATATTCTGGTTAGTTTACCTACCCACTTTCATAGGCCGCTGTTTTCTCGTTTTATGGAAGAAATTATAAATATATTTCACCAACAATTAAACCATTTTATATATTAATATTTTCAATTAAATTTCTTTTAAATCTTTTAGTGATTTATATATTTATACGCATTTTTAGATCCTGGAATCGGTGTTTGAACTGTCCATCTGGGACCACTGTCCATTAGGTAGCAACGTTTTTCTAGGAGAGTTACAGCTACCTCTACGTAAAGCGGATCTTCAAGACTGTCCCGAATGGTACCCCCTTTCTGCCCACCAACAAACTCCCGTCGCTTTATCGCCCACTCACAAAATAACACCCCCAAGTTTGGTACCTTCTACACCAGCACACGATATTGCTCGAAGGATGCTGCAGCGTGGTACTGAAGAATATTCCCAATCGCTAACTTATGGTAATCTTTAACACCGAAAAGAAGTACTGGTGTTTAAATTAGTTAATAAATTCAACTTTTTATACACAAATAGATGAAATTAAAGATGAGAGCAGTCTTCCTCCAGAGAATAAAAACATGCAAAGAAGCTCTTCCATGGATCTAACGCGTGAGTCATCTTTGTCTGTTTAAAATTCGATATATATTTGTTTTATTTATGCATTCCTACATTATTTTGGTAGTGCTGCATCCGGATGATGCTTGGGATCGTCATCCGACGCAACCTAGCAGCGGCAATCAGGAAAGAAAGCCATCGGCGCCGTCCGTCGTCACTCGAGTGAAGTCTACCCCTCCCAGTAGAAGAAGCTCCAACAATTTGGTATCTCAGGACAGTCTTCCAGGTACATTTCCTTTAAAGATGCTCTCTCTTTCTTTTCCTCTCTCTACATTTCAAGAGATAATTAGAAAAAAGAGTTACTCCTTTTGATAACTTTTCTTCGTGTTATGTATTATTGTAAATATTCGTTTGTCGTTTTTACCGTTGCTTTAAACTGATATGTACTTCTCATGAAAGTTTAATGATGTCGTGACCGAAGAGAAAGAGGCGTAAGTGCTTCTTTTTTTTAATATTTTTCTTTTCTTTCTCGCGATGATAAATGTGGTATCAAAATTTTTAATGCTATACGAATGGAAGGAAGAATGAAAAATGGCTGTTCCCAATAGTTTAAAAGGCAAAATAAATACAGGAGTGTTCCTATACGTGTTTGAAATATAGAAGAATTGAGATTTTAAATAAATGTATGTTTTCTAAGATCATTTGTTTATATATAGACAAATATATACCGGTATAAACGTGTGGTTGCGCGTATGTATATATATTTATACGTACTTTCAGCTATACAGTTATGTATCTTTATACACCCAAAAACAATCATAATCGTTTAACTTATAGAGTATAATTTTGTTACCGTTTTACTTTATAATAATGACAAAGACAATGTGCAATCGTTGTGGCATTAATTTTTACGAGAGAAAAAATTATTGGATGGTTAGAAGCAGGTCAGTCTCAGAGAGGTGTGTCTAGGACTTTTAATGCGACACAGAACGTCATATCTAGATTTTGGGCACGATTTCAAAACAGTAGATGTTGGGTGTCACAGTGTGTGCATACAAGGAACAACCATACGCCGAATTAATTATTTTCTGTACAAAAATTTATGATAATGCTTAATACATTTTCTTGTTTTTAATTTAAATGATTTAGATATAATTTTTTTATTTCAATTTTTCGACACAAACGTATATAAAGGAATAAGTATCGAANCTTATTTTTCGGATAACCAATTATGTACGAAAAAATATATTAATTTATCCCGTGTTGAAATTTTTCTCCGTTGCGTGTCGCTTCGCGTTGAATTTTCGTCGATGTTAAGCCTAACGAAGACTATTGTATCGTTAAAAATTATTTTTTTATTTTGTACAAACAAAATAAATATATTGAAAAATATAAAAACAATAAAAAATTATACTTCAGAAGTTAATTTAGTATCAAAAACGTAAAATATTTGAGTAGCCGAAGACATAGCCAAAGATTACAGCGCCACAGCACTGGCGAAAATTTAAATTTGTCGACTGGAATTCTTTCGGATAACGGACGTTTCGGATAACAGACCTTCGGATAAACGATGCTCTACTGTATAAAAGTGTTTTAAGTGATGCTTGCAATTATCTCTCAAAAGATACTTTATCAGCATCTTTAAAGTCACTAAAAACTTTCTTAAAAATTGAGTAACCGAGTCTTGTTCCTTTTGTAAACAATTTTTTAAAGAAATCCTTAAAACATTTTTAAAATCCTGAATTTTTTTTTGGTATTGAAGATAGTTTTCAGAGTAACTTTACATTGGCTGTTCTCTAGGTAACTATTTCATGTTACCATATATATAAAAAAAAAAAATTAATGTTCATATCTTTAATTTAATATCTAAAAAATATTTATAAACTTTTCATCAATCATTATCTAAATTAGATAAGAACTTTTTGTTATTTAAATTTCATAATACAGTATTTAATAAAAGAATTAAAAGTTGCTATCATTAATATTTAATTATTCTGATTAAATTCTAAGATAAATACAATGAACAATGATTTATTTAAGTTAGAATTAAATGTAATTATTCATCTAAAATCTGTACAAATGCGTTGTATAATTAATAATACATTAAAAAAATTTTTTATTGTAAGATCAAATTAATTATAATTAAAATGATTATTATCAATTTTTAGATTATATTAATTAAAGGAAGTCGTTGGAATTTAATAATTTCCGAACTTTTACGCTGTATTAATTATTTTTTTTTATCAGTTTAATTAATCATTTATTTGTTTAAATAGTTAAACTTTCTAATTTTGTTTTAATGCTGCATTAAAAATAAATAAATAAATTATGTAGGAAAGTCAAATTAACTTTATTTTCATTTTTTTTTTATTTAGAATGTAAATAAATTACAATATAGGAACGTAAGGGCGATACAAACATATATACATATTCAGTTTAATTTTCCATATAATCACCTTGTCTATTGAGGTTAGATGAAGGAATCGAAATCTTGATAATAGAAAGATGCATACAAATATAACCAACATTTGATTTTCCATAGTTTGGTGGGATAAGTCAACGCAACAACACATGGGTAATCTGCCAAATGGGTGATATGCTTTCCGGAAGAACTTTCTTTGGGAAATTGGCCCCATTAGGTGTTACACACGTGAAGTAAAGCTGGAAAATTCCACGCGACCAGCCCGTTAGTGAGGCGTGAAGCCACAATCAACTACTACTGGTCAGTGGTTTATTCACCCGGCCACTGGTGGGCCTCTTCAGATTGAAAGGACTGGCTTCTTCAATTTGAGAAATAGAAATAACCTAATGGCAAGATGAGAAGAATTTCTAGAGATTCAGCATCACGAACAGTATGAGGATCGATTCCTTCATCTATTACTAAGTTCCTCAATAGACAAGATATATTGTAGGGAAAATTAGGTAATTGCTAACACCTAATAAGATGCCACCATTAACCAAAGAGAAAACTATTCTGTAGATGTAAATGCGAAGGATCGTAAGGTAGGGAATGTGGGGAAATGCTATTACCCTATCTTCCCTTATATCTGTTTATAAGTTTCACGTGGTCCATCGTTACTCGTTTACATTCAAAACAAAAAAGGAAAACTTACTTCCTGACATTATCGTCATATGTCTATGAATGTACTAAAGAGTATTGACTATATTTTACTCTTTCCAAATAAATAGTTTTTGAATTCAAAATGTTCTAATAACACGCCCCTCTATTATACTATATATGTTTATAAAACTGGATAGTAATTGTATAATATTTTTGGGATTTAAATATAATCAAACTAACAAAATTAACACTAAAATTTATAAACAAAATAGTCTTAATAATCATTGATGTAAAATTCAATATAAAAACAGGAATAAATGATTATAAACACAATATGTCATATAATAGCATTAATACATCCATATGTCACTAACTTCTATGTTAAATGATATACAGATACCACTTGTCCATATATAATTACTTTATTGATATTAATGGCAAATGAAAGGAATAATTTCAGGTTTTTTTTTTCTTATTTTCCTCTATTTTTTCTTTTAAATAATTTATTTTGTATATTTATTTTCTTTGCTCTCATTCTAAATTATATTCTTGAATAATTTATATGTATAAAATTAAATATTTTATCCTATAAGATATAACTTGTTTATATATAATTAAATATTTCAAATTACTTAAAAGTATATTTATATACTTAAATATACAGCACTAATTTATACAAGAATTTATGTATTTTACTATATACGTATTAATTCTAAACAAAGAAATAGTATTTTTTATACAAATTATCGAATTAAATAATAATATTTCCTACAGAATGATTAGGACCACGCCTAAAAGAGATTAACGGAGTAGAGAGCAAAGATTTTCTAATATTTAAACGTGGAATTAAGCTATACAAAGAGGAAACATGATCTTTAAAACATGCCAGAGCATAAGTTTTACGATTCCATCAGATGCAGACTTGACCCTGGCAAATATTTTTCTGAAAGGGAATTTTCCCGAAGACTTCTGCTAGTTAATTTATTACTGAGAATGTCTTATATTACCCATCCATCCGTAGAGCTCCATCTTTAGCTATCCGCTCTCTACAATAATCAATCAACTTATTCCTAGTGGAGTGTTATGCCGAGAATGAAGGTAGAGGAGAGATATCTGCCGCCGAATTATATCGATGACGTGTCACTATCTTAATTACATTATGGATCATCTTAGCATAACACAAAATATGCAATAAATAATATTTAAAATATTTATCTAATTGAAATTTAATAATTTTTTCTTTTTTTTTCGTTATGAGGAACATTGCTGATGGAAGCCATGTTGAGACAATCATAATTACTTCTATTGAAAATTAATTTAAATTAAATTTATTACTAAGAAATGGAATGTTGTGGATTTATTTATTGCTTAGAATTCGTTTAAAGTGTTCCAAACCAGCAGAAAATTAGATTTTTTTTTTTTCCTGGTAGGATGAAGATGTGCCGTATGGTCACTACGTGACACATGAATAAATTCATTTCACGTATTTTCCTATTCCATTCGCACAAAATAATTAATATATTAAGAAACTTAAAAAGTATTATATACAGGATACCTCACAGAGGAGCTTATAGTTCATTTAGCATGAGCCTTTTGAGGCCTCTCTCGACATATCAAAAGGCCCGATTCTATCTAAAAGAGAACACGAAAAAAAGAGATAATTCGTATCTTCGAATATATATTCAAAATTGCTATATTTAATCGATCACGGCTGTCACTTAGTAATAATTAATATTAATATAATTCAATTCGGTAGGAGAAAAGAAGCAGATGTGAACTTTCTCCTCACGTGCAATTCATGTGGGGCGTAGCAGAATGGACAAAATACAGGCCTTTTTTTAAAACAAGTTGTCAATTCTCCACACGGACACATGCAAATTCTTCAAACAAAACCATTCAGCGGATTATAACTTTAAATAAACTATTAAAAATTTCGATTTAAAGTATAAAAAGTATGAAATTTTAATCGCAAAAAAAACCCGAATTATACACATTAATAATTAAACAGAAAATGATATTTATTAGACAAACAAGTTATAAATTATTTTTGAACTCGATTTTCTTCTGATAGCCTTGAGCCAGTTATTAAAAGCCAAATAATGTGTTGGCTTTTCTGGTCAACGAAGCTGCCAATTCAACCGACACTCCAACTCTCGATTAACATTTTAATTAACAAAATTATTTTTCTCAGCTCTTTTGCTTAACATCATTCGACTTTTCACTTAATATATTTGTTGTAGAAAATATCATTTAAAATCTTAAATTTTACGGTAATTTACTCATTAATTCATATTAGTGGCGATTAACTATATAAATTAATACTTAACTCAAGAATTTTTAATCTATTTAGTCTTCATTTCTAGATTTTAACACATAAAGAATATGTGAAAAATCTCTTATATACGTCAAAGANTAAATTTATAGTAGGGAACTAGCATAAATATATCAGGAATGTGCTTAGTTTTATAATGCTACAAAAGCCATAAAAAAGAAATTTTTCTATCTTGTTTCATTTAAACATTAATCAATAAAAGTAACTTTTAAGTTTAGAAAATGAATGATTTATGTATTCAATAAAAGAATTTTAATTGATAAATTGAGAATCTAGAACACAAAAAAGATATTTTTAATTATAAGCAACATCTTTTTATTTAATGTAAGATATATAAAATTGAAATAAACTGATTAAATCGCTGACCTTTCTGTTCTGAATCCACATCATCAATCACTATCTTTATGTTTTCTCGTTCAGGAGCAGACGCTCTTCTCTCGGGTCTACCCACTTCTTCTCGTGGTAAATCTAAAGAATGGGTACTTTGTGTCCTCGTATGTGGTAGAAGGAAGCTATGACCATCCGGAATTGCTGGTAACGCTCTTCCTGTACTACTTCTTCGTTGATAATCCCATTCCGTATGATCTTGTACGTGATTCCTCCTGGAAGTTTGAAGATCAGCTACAGAATCTACATATACGCAGGGTATACTTTTCCTTAACTGAGTGGTGGCCCCTTTTGGGCTTTTATCGGTATCGTCTAACGAACTGGATTTTGCAGGTGTCCTATGCTCTATAATCTGCTCGTCAGCCGATGGGCTACTATCCATGACCACTGGACTTACTATATCTCTTCTCCTTCTCGGGTGTTTCTGGCTGGACCGTTGTCTCTTTGTGGACGTTGATATATATTTTCCGCTTCTATCACTGGTGGAATATTCTCCACTTACATCACTTATATCCGAACTTTCCGAACTGAAGCGCCTAACGTATAAAGCTGCATCCGAAGCAATTTGTCGTAGAGGTTTCTCTGAAGAATTTTTGTACTCCTTTGGCCAGTAGTCCAAACCGTTATCTATACTTTCTAAGGCACTGCTTGATTCTAATGAGGAAGTGGCATTACTTCTCGCTCTTTCGTCACGATAGCCGCATGGATCCGAATCGGGTTCTTCAATATAGTTTTTCTGTCTTTGTATTTTTGATTTTCTCTTCACTCTATACTTTCTTCTTTTATCATATTCTGGGCTTTGGCTCATCTCGTCCAAAGAGCTTTCTGATGGAGAAGACTGTTCCGTTCCGTGAGAATGCTGATGAGAAGATGTAAGACTGCATACACCACAAGAACTTACTCTAGCTGGATTGTGAACAGGCAACGGATGAATTGGTCCTTTTTGCGATTCCGAAGAAGATCTTCTATCACTGGGTGTTTCTGAAGAGTAGTACCTTTCTTTAGATTGGTCCCTACCGACTGGTGAAGAATTTCTCGTCCTCCCTGATCTTCTTCGATCTTCTATCGATTTTTGTCTTTTGACCGATGATTTTGTTTCTCTTCTCGTTCGACCATCTTGAGATTTTTCTAAAGATAAATGTTTTCTCAGTGATCGAGGCGATTCATCTTCTATGTTTTTATTTGACATTTCTTTACTGTCCGGATTGAAGGGAGTCAAGCAAGAAGCATACTCTTTATTGATCACATCATGTGTCGATTGCTGTCTCTTTTCAAGCAATATAGCTCCTTCTTTAGTAAATAATTTCTCTGAGGATCCATAAATGCCAACTTCTTTGTTAGTTCTAGCTAATTTTTCGGCCTGTAACGAGCGGATGACATTCAATAACGAAAGATTCTCATTTTATTAAGTAACTAGAAGATGGTATTTACCATTCTTCTAACGGAAGGTACCCTATGCATACCAGAACCGGGAGGAGGTTCTATACCGAGCCTATCTTGTCCTTGTCTTCTACGACAGAAACTACATTTCCAACCCTATATTGATAACAAATCACAGATTTTTTTCGTTATCTTTTACAGTATAGAAAACGCGTTTAAGGAGTAATGCACGTGTATTCACCTGAGATTGATTAGCTGACGTTTTCGAATAAGAGGCACAATCGTCACAGACTACCTGTCCACATTCGTCACAGTTGTTACGCTGTTCACCCGGTTCGATAATTTTACGACATATCCTGCAGTTCGGTCCAGAAGGAACGTTAACCGGTGTCTGCGGTTTTTCTACAGCTTTTTCTTTGATCTGTACTGCTTGTGGTGTCGATTGAGGACTCTGAATTCTATAGCAAACAATAAAAATACATAAAAATCTCAGTTACTTTTAATTACTTTTGACAAGTTCTACTAAATTTCTACTAAATTTAGTGTATTAAATGTAATTTTACGGGCGGCGCGCAATGCGACGAGACACTAAGCGCAACATGCATCGTGTCGCGCGCTATCTACATCCCATCAATATAAATGTTGATTAAAACTACAAAACAAATTTTTATGTCATTTCTTATTTTTTTATTACATTAAAAGGTTTAAACGTTTGCATAGATATATTTCTATACAATCGCTGTACTATATAGGACATTATTTCGAGAGTCGCGTCGCGTCGACGCGACGTAACGCGACTCTCATTAATTAAAAACAACATAATAACAAAGATTAAAAATTTCGAATTAAAGTATTTAATAGAACGAAGTTTTTTTTATTCAATTTTTCCACAACAAACAAAACAAAATTAATTTAATAAATGTAAAAAATTGAGTTCCTTAAGACGTTCCGTTTAAAATCATTGAATAAAATATATAAAATAAAAATGAAAAGACACGTAACAAGAATAAATGAGACTCTATTAACAAAAAAAAGAAGACAAATTGAAGCCATAAGAAAGAGAAAGAGGGAAACTCGATTAAAGAAAATACAGACGGTCTTCTTCTTCTACTGAATTTCCTGATAGCAGAACTTATAGCTTAAGGCCAATAAGGACAAGAAGACAGTAACCAAACTCCAAAGTTAAATTTCTCTTCATTGCTTCTTAAAATATGTAGCAAAGAATAAGAAGAAGAAAAAAAAACAATAAAGTTAAACCTGAATTTTTGAGATTCTTTCTCAAATTCTTTCTCTTTTTGCCAAACTCTGTTTAATATCGATCTTTCTTCTGCTGTTAAATACGCCAGGTCTTCTCCTATAGGTTTGGGCTTGTCTCTTCCAAGAGTCATGCCAAGTGTTACCGTCTGTTTAAGTTTATTGATAGCGCTTGGTTTCTCTCGAATTTCTTCTCCACCACTGTTGCCACTTTTTACTATCTGAAAAGAGAAAGAAATACTTTTGTTCAGAAATTCCGAGGGTTACTGGTCAATACTAGTGGAATTTATATATAAAAGAACAAATGTACTGTACAATTAGACTAAAGCCTCAATGAATACTTGCAACGTATCCTTGCAAATGTTAAATTGTTCTTCAGTATCTATTAATTACTAAATGTATAATTTGTGTGACTTTCAAACTCAAACGTTAGACTTTATGTACTATGTTTAACTCAATTCTTATCGTTTGAAGTACTGTGTTTCAGTTTAGCGCAGCACTCGATTTAGTACATATTTCAGAGGCAAACAAACAGTGGTACTAAATAGAAGTTTACATTGTATTGTCATCTCAGATAAGTTGCGATTAACTAGAGAATTCATAATTTACTTGTAAATTATTTGAAAACGGTTTAATCTTCCTTAAATTGAATTAAAATTGATTCATAAATTCATTCTCGTAATTAAGTCAACTTGTTTTGTAATTAATAGGCTTATATCAAAAATTTAATAATATTAATTAATGTAATGTGATTTTGTAATAATAATAATAATAAAATTAAGCTTAATCTTTCGATTTTATTTAAATGTATTAAAAAAGTATTGAAAATTCTGAAATATTTTAAATTAAAATTTTAAAAAACCGGTCAAGTTCGATATAGTCAATTACATATTTCGTNTTTCTAATTTTGTTTTAATGCTGCATTAAAAATAAATAAATAAATTATGTAGGAAAGTCAAATTAACTTTATTTTCATTTTTTTTTTATTTAGAATGTAAATAAATTACAATATAGGAACGTAAGGGCGATACAAACATATATACATATTCAGTTTAATTTTCCATATAATCACCTTGTCTATTGAGGTTAGATGAAGGAATCGAAATCTTGATAATAGAAAGATGCATACAAATATAACCAACATTTGATTTTCCATAGTTTGGTGGGATAAGTCAACGCAACAACACATGGGTAATCTGCCAAATGGGTGATATGCTTTCCGGAAGAACTTTCTTTGGGAAATTGGCCCCATTAGGTGTTACACACGTGAAGTAAAGCTGGAAAATTCCACGCGACCAGCCCGTTAGTGAGGCGTGAAGCCACAATCAACTACTACTGGTCAGTGTTTATTCACCCGGCCACTGGTGGGCCTCTTCAGATTGAAAGGACTGGCTTCTTCAATTTGAGAAATAGAAATAACCTAATGGCAAGATGAGAAGAATTATTAATATTTATGCTTAACGTCTGCCTCTCTGTCTACATCATTTTAGTATATTCTCTATAGAATTGTACAGCATATAACACGTTATCATCATTATTTATTTTAAAGTTTTAACACGATTTTTTTGTTATAAAACATAAAATGAAACTTTATATTATATAAACTTTACAATTATACTGTTATTAATATTATTTAATTAAATGTATACATACTTTTTTTAAATGTGTGAATATTAGAAGGCAACAAAAGTCATAAACTTGTTGCCTTCTAATATAAAATGCTGCAATAATAAATATATAAATGATAAAGAAAAATTATGAAATAAAAGTAACCACCTAATTTGTGAAAAAATATTTGAAAGTTATGAAATTTTAATGCAGATTGGTTAGAGAAAAATAGGCGGTGTTGTAGTTATCATTTTCTAGCCAATCGGCTTTGAAATCTTTCTACAAATTTTTAAACTATTTCGCAAAAATTAAGCGAAGGACTTCGTATGTTTAAAGAATGTATTCATCTAATTCTGATCCTGTTATTTTTAGTTTTATTNCAGGTGTTTATTCACCCGGCCACTGGTGGGCCTCTTCAGATTGAAAGGACTGGCTTCTTCAATTTGAGAAATAGAAATAACCTAATGGCAAGATGAGAAGAATTTCTAGAGATTCAGCATCACGAACAGTATGAGGATCGATTCCTTCATCTATTACTAAGTTCCTCAATAGACAAGATATATTGTAGGGAAAATTAGGTAATTGCTAACACCTAATAAGATGCCACCATTAACCAAAGAGAAAACTATTCTGTAGATGTAAATGCGAAGGATCGTAAGGTAGGGAATGTGGGGAAATGCTATTACCCTATCTTCCCTTATATCTGTTTATAAGTTTCACGTGGTCCATCGTTACTCGTTTACATTCAAAACAAAAAAGGAAAACTTACTTCCTGACATTATCGTCATATGTCTATGAATGTACTAAAGAGTATTGACTATATTTTACTCTTTCCAAATAAATAGTTTTTGAATTCAAAATGTTCTAATAACACGCCCCTCTATTATACTATATATGTTTATAAAACTGGATAGTAATTGTATAATATTTTTGGGATTTAAATATAATCAAACTAACAAAATTAACACTAAAATTTATAAACAAAATAGTCTTAATAATCATTGATGTAAAATTCAATATAAAAACAGGAATAAATGATTATAAACACAATATGTCATATAATAGCATTAATACATCCATATGTCACTAACTTCTATGTTAAATGATATACAGATACCACTTGTCCATATATAATTACTTTATTGATATTAATGGCAAATGAAAGGAATAATTTCAGGTTTTTTTTTTCTTATTTTCCTCTATTTTTTCTTTTAAATAATTTATTTTGTATATTTATTTTCTTTGCTCTCATTCTAAATTATATTCTTGAATAATTTATATGTATAAAATTAAATATTTTATCCTATAAGATATAACTTGTTTATATATAATTAAATATTTCAAATTACTTAAAAGTATATTTATATACTTAAATATACAGCACTAATTTATACAAGAATTTATGTATTTTACTATATACGTATTAATTCTAAACAAAGAAATAGTATTTTTTATACAAATTATCGAATTAAATAATAATATTTCCTACAGAATGATTAGGACCACGCCTAAAAGAGATTAACGGAGTAGAGAGCAAAGATTTTCTAATATTTAAACGTGGAATTAAGCTATACAAAGAGGAAACATGATCTTTAAAACATGCCAGAGCATAAGTTTTACGATTCCATCAGATGCAGACTTGACCCTGGCAAATATTTTTCTGAAAGGGAATTTTCCCGAAGACTTCTGCTAGTTAATTTATTACTGAGAATGTCTTATATTACCCATCCATCCGTAGAGCTCCATCTTTAGCTATCCGCTCTCTACAATAATCAATCAACTTATTCCTAGTGGAGTGTTATGCCGAGAATGAAGGTAGAGGAGAGATATCTGCCGCCGAATTATATCGATGACGTGTCACTATCTTAATTACATTATGGATCATCTTAGCATAACACAAAATATGCAATAAATAATATTTAAAATATTTATCTAATTGAAATTTAATAATTTTTTCTTTTTTTTTCGTTATGAGGAACATTGCTGATGGAAGCCATGTTGAGACAATCATAATTACTTCTATTGAAAATTAATTTAAATTAAATTTATTACTAAGAAATGGAATGTTGTGGATTTATTTATTGCTTAGAATTCGTTTAAAGTGTTCCAAACCAGCAGAAAATTAGATTTTTTTTTTTTCCTGGTAGGATGAAGATGTGCCGTATGGTCACTACGTGACACATGAATAAATTCATTTCACGTATTTTCCTATTCCATTCGCACAAAATAATTAATATATTAAGAAACTTAAAAAGTATTATATACAGGATACCTCACAGAGGAGCTTATAGTTCATTTAGCATGAGCCTTTTGAGGCCTCTCTCGACATATCAAAAGGCCCGATTCTATCTAAAAGAGAACACGAAAAAAAGAGATAATTCGTATCTTCGAATATATATTCAAAATTGCTATATTTAATCGATCACGGCTGTCACTTAGTAATAATTAATATTAATATAATTCAATTCGGTAGGAGAAAAGAAGCAGATGTGAACTTTCTCCTCACGTGCAATTCATGTGGGGCGTAGCAGAATGGACAAAATACAGGCCTTTTTTTAAAACAAGTTGTCAATTCTCCACACGGACACATGCAAATTCTTCAAACAAAACCATTCAGCGGATTATAACTTTAAATAAACTATTAAAAATTTCGATTTAAAGTATAAAAAGTATGAAATTTTAATCGCAAAAAAAACCCGAATTATACACATTAATAATTAAACAGAAAATGATATTTATTAGACAAACAAGTTATAAATTATTTTTGAACTCGATTTTCTTCTGATAGCCTTGAGCCAGTTATTAAAAGCCAAATAATGTGTTGGCTTTTCTGGTCAACGAAGCTGCCAATTCAACCGACACTCCAACTCTCGATTAACATTTTAATTAACAAAATTATTTTTCTCAGCTCTTTTGCTTAACATCATTCGACTTTTCACTTAATATATTTGTTGTAGAAAATATCATTTAAAATCTTAAATTTTACGGTAATTTACTCATTAATTCATATTAGTGGCGATTAACTATATAAATTAATACTTAACTCAAGAATTTTTAATCTATTTAGTCTTCATTTCTAGATTTTAACACATAAAGAATATGTGAAAAATCTCTTATATACGTCAAAGAATAGAAATTTTTAATTGGATGCCAGTGCTTTTCTTGATATTTAGATGTAAGTAAACTTTTCCATTTTCTAGTTTTACAGTTAGAATTTTTAGGATAAAGAATAGCAGATGTATCACTTTTCAAAAGGTTAAGTGAGATTTGGAGTGAGAAGTTAAATGATAAACATAAAAAAAGTATATAAAAGTACCTTTAAAAACCAAAATATTCCTTTAAAAAATTCTCCAAAAACACATAAAAGCTTTTCTATAAAATATTTTACGATTTTATAAATTTCTAAAATGTTATAAACTCCTTCAAGAAATTTACAAACTTTCCAAAGTATTTGTAAATATGTATTGATAATATTTTATAAATTATTCTTAAATTATTAAATAAAGTTTATTTAATTTGTTTAGAATAATTTTATAAATTTATTCATATATAAATATTCTACAACTTGAGAAAATATATAGAATAATAGAATAAAGATTCTAGATATTTGTGAATCATTTATAATATAAGAAATGTACAGAATAATTATATAACTATTCAAGACATCTGTAAGTTTTATCAACGTAAAAATACATTTAAACTGAATATTCATATTTTATGTAGAATAATATACAATTTTCTAATTATATAGGCCTAATGTTCACAAGTATTTAGAATATTCATATACTTATTGTATTTAAGTTTGTATGTTATAGAATGTTTGTATATGTCTAGAACTGTGCACAATTATTCTATATACCTTTTCAGGTTATAAAATATTCACATTCTGCAACACTATATAGGCATAATATAAAAACCAACCTAAAATAATTGTATAAATATTCTAAACACGTATGAATATTTTATAAATAAATGTATGTGTACAGTATATACTATAGAATAATCATACAAATATTCTGGATATTCAAATATTCATATGTGCACTATATAAACATAAAAAAGTGCATTAAATAACTGTGCAAATATTCTAGAAATTGAAAGATACATTGCTTACCTTTTTCATAAACGACATAACATTAGTAGAGATCATTTTAAATTTTTAAAAATCTTTATCAAAGTAAAAATAATATAATTTTTCTTTTTTAAATTCGTTTAAATATCAATAACGAGTTAATAATATCCACTCCAGTATCAGCATTTTCTGTAAAAAAAAAAACAAAATAAAAATAAAAATATTCAGTACGTTTTTAATAAATATTTTTATAATTATATTTATATTTATAAAATTAACAATAGAGTTTTCTGGGTTATAAGTTACTGTTCACGTATCTGTTAATGATTGCAGTTGTAAATAAGTATTTACTAAAAATAAACGAGTATCGATTAATCGACGAATAACAGCTTAGTTTTAAAAGCCGTATAAATCAAACTGTAAATTAATTTACGAAGATTAAATATATGGACGTTCTTTATGCAGTATATTCTTCTTCATTATGTGAACAAAAATATCTTGCATGTGAAGAATCGTGTGAATAAAATATATTCTTCTTCACACAATAAAGAAGAATAGAAAAGAATCCCCTTCACATCCTTTACACAGTGAAGAAAAATACTCTATATGAAAATGGTATCGAGATTACAATCTCCTACTTCTCATGTAAATGTAAAAGCTGTATTAAACATCCAGAATTCACAAGCATACCACAAGCACGATGACAATGGAAACAAACACCAAAATTCACAGTAAACCCCTTAATAATAGACAGGATCATAGAAGTCACCAGTACAAACAACCAACTGCTGTGTTGCTACCAACAAGGTATACACACCACCATTCAAAGTCCACTCACGTGTACTGAGTGACACTAAAACATTATCACACACATCACCTGTCACATGCTTTAATAATAAACACCTTAATCTGTAAAGAGAGAAATTGTATGCAGCATATTCTTTACATATAAATAAATATATATATCTTCTTGGTGTTTGTAATTTACCCTTATTTACTATACTTTACTCAGTAAATTCTTTTTGTTTTATTCTTCTAAACATCTGTTTGATAAACTTATTTATAAAGTTAAATCATTATTTACATGGATTTTAATCTCGTAAACTGGTTAATTATAACACCAAGTGGGTTGGTTTATGTAATTTTATCAAGTTTGATTAAGAATTTCTCGCTGGTTAGATTTTAGGATTAGTTGAAAACTGGGTCTTGCTAACTTTCACTTGGTTCTCATTCAAGATATTGTAGTAAGTGACAGGTTACAATGATTGATTATCTTCATTTTTCCGTGTGAACTGTAATTAGATATCGAATGTAGGATGCGTATAATCCACGAGGAATTAAAGAAGGTCTTTGTGAATAAGCAATGGAAATTTTGACAAATTTCTATAATTATAAAGTATAATCTTAATGAATTTGCCATTTCCCTAGGTTGTACGAAATTAATTAATTACATTACAGCTAGAGCCTATCTGAGTACGATGTTTTAGGTTTATGTTGAATAGATCCTTCTAATACAGGTATGTGGATTTATATCGAACATCAAAATTTCTTAAAATTTGATATCTTGCAACAAAATGTAAATTTGTAAAGGATATTCTTAAACAGGTTGGGTGCTGATGTGACAACATGCCAAGCTTTTACTAGGAACACCAAATTCGATTGTATTTCAGAATAAACTTCGCTAATCCTCATGAGACATTCTTAACTTAAGGTTAGGAACGTTTTATAATGTAAGAAAGGTCTCGAATGCAGTGTAAATCAGTGGCTATGTTCTAGAACACTAAGCTTTTACTGGGAAATTACTTGTAAAGAAATTTCATTAATTTTAATTATATCCAAAAAAAATCTAAAAAGTAGATTTTTTACTGTTACTAGCTACCGTTATGGCCTTGGATTTAGCCATTTGTCTAGCTTGTTATACTTTATCAAATGAGACAATAGAGAAAAATGCATTTTTTGAATTTTAAGAACCCTATCTCTTCGATTAAATTTAGCATCTCAGCAGAATAATACAGATAAAATAAATTTTTTCTCTCTTTCCTTTTTCTTCAATCCGAAAATAACAAGACATTGTAAAGATAAATGCATTTGTCAAAGAACTCGGGGAATGGGATACAACTGAATTTCAAATGTAGTTCTACTCTTTACTGTATTGACTCTGACTCGAACGATTCTGTAACAAAATAGGCTTTGTAATTTCCTGACGGAGATTCTAACTTTAAAGAAAATCAAATTATAGATGACAAAAATGGAGTCAAAATGACGTGTTTGGTTTTATTGGTTTTCTTTTTCTTTTTTTTTTTTACTCAACCCTCTACTTTGCTGAGGAAATTTTAAATTGGTATAAAATAGAAAATGATTTTGTATTAGGTTCCTCTTACGAAACAATTTTTAAATATTTCATTTATGTAATTGTCTTAAATTAATTTTACAATATATTTCTATACATAACAATCGAAAATACGTAATTTCTCTTCTAGAAATTTATAGTTTAGATATAGAAAATTTATTTATAAATTCATTTACATCACCTTTACATGTAAGGGTCCTAAGGGTTTAGTCTAAATAATATTCAAATTTTAAAAACTATACATACATTTAAAAATTTTCTTTGTTACTTTTGCAATTAAAATATTATAAGGGCTGACCCCAATGGGAAAACGATAAAAGGAAAAAAAAAAAAAGATATTTTATATATTTCTATAACACGTTCCCTGTTGTTTTAAGTGTTAAGAAATTCTTTAAGTTATCCTAACTTACTAAAGAAGAAAATAGCTATTTAAAAAACCCGTACAGAATTTTTGTACATATATCGAACCGGGTCACTCTTGACGATAGTCGCAAACATCACACGCAGCCACTCGAATGGGATTTGTTTTTTCTTCTTTTCTTAACTCCCTTTCCGACTTACGTTTACTAAGGCGAACACCTAGAAGGAAGAAAGATGAAATATGCCCCGAGCAAGAAACGAATCGAATTTGTTCCAGTAGAAACACGACACGCTTACACCTAGCCAACCCAACTCGGCTTACGTTAGAGCAAGTGAAATGATGGAAGATAAACTTATTTAAAATTTGGTTAGGTTCGAGTTGATTATATATGGAAACTAAAATAAGAATCATTTATAACTTCCGTTTTAAGTTTATTTTCGAATTGGAGTGGGAAAATTTGAAAAAAAAAATAGAAGAATTCTTGTTAAAGTATTATATTAAAATTCCAAAAAAATAGAGTGTGAAAGTTTCATATTTAAACGTTTATTTAAAGTATAAAGTAAAGCATTAATAAATTTTTAATGACAAATGTATTAAATGCGAGAATGTATAACTGAGTTAACAAGAGTTTCATTTTAGTAACTGGATGTAGATGGAGATGTATAAATCGAGAATTTCCATCCGATGCATCAACAAGTCGGCAACAGGCTATTCAATCGATCGAGCTAGCTGCAAGCAGTTATTATTTCTGCAACCAGAGAGAAAATCTAACAGACTGTGACGTTTGCTATTTAGCTATTGCCTGTAACTGAAGACGTATCAAAAATACAGAAAGCTATTTATCATCTTTATTTTCTCTATTTTTTTTTCCTTTCATTTATATACAGCTTACGTAATACTATGAGTGATTAATTACCTCTCATCTTGCACCTGTTATATATACTGTATATACTATACTTAATCATATGATGGACGCCATTTTTGAGACAGAATTAATTATATAAATGTTACTTGTATTTGATACATATAAGCAAAATTATATTTAAACATTTATCTATTTTTTTTTCCTTTCATTTATATACAGCTTACGTAATACTATGAGTGATTAATTACCTCTCATCTTGCACCTTATATATATACTGTATATACTAATAACGAGTAAAATCCCCATTAAGTCCGACCCTTTTGAAAATACACTCAACGCTTATTATCTTCTCATCCATCGACCTTTAACCAATTTCAGAAATTTTCGACAAAAAGGACAGGAGTTACTAAGCTTCAAACAGGGTTAACAAAATCCTGCCACACACACACAATCATCCATCATCCCCCTATCACAAATTCCCAAACATTTTCAGCTATTTCGAAAACCTTTGCATTGTTAGTCTCTACAATCCTCCGAAAATTATAAGTTACTTTCAAACGCTGACTTCCCCATTATATCCCGCGATTTCATTCTTCACAAACTGCCAAACACTTTGATTGAGACCAAATTTTACCAAGTTACTCTCCCCCACCCTGCGGGAAACGTATACTACTTATTAAAAGAGGGAACTTAACTCTCAACACGAAATACTTTGCCAGTTGTAAATAAACCAAAAGCTTTTGTTCTGTATAATTGAACAAAATATCTTGACATATCTTTGCGTGTAATGCACTATTCATATATTCATAAATATTTATAAATAAGATTTAACGCCATATATTTAATTATAATTACTTACCGTATTTAAGACTGTTCAGAGAATAGTTTCTTCTAAACGATGACTATCACAATTAAATAATTCTGTCATATTTCTCCATAATTCTTATTGATGAAAAACCGTAAAAAATATGTCCGCATTATCACTTATTTACATTTAATTTCCTTACGTACGATCAAAGGGACAGTTACAAAATGACACTTTTTTTATGTATTGTCTACTTTTAAGAAAGTTTCTTAAACTTTGTAACTTTCACTTACTTGGAAATTTTTATCAAATATTATTATGCAATTTAATTGTGTTATTTTTTTTAACTTAAATTAAACGTATTTGCTGTTTAAGTTCATCGAAATAGAACGTGTTTAGGGTCTGGAAATAGATTAATTCGCTCTCTGTTATTTCTAACGAAAAAATTGATTCGGACTTCGAACAGCCTCCTACAATAAATTAAATTCGAAGTACGTGGTTTCACTTCTTTCATATCGTCTTCGTTAAAATATTTTTATGTTTAATAAATGAGTAATAATTCTTAAATATGTAATAAAGTTATTTGAAATAAACTTGTCCTTTATTTTTCAAAGAAACTTTATTGTGTTTTATTTTCTGAAATATTTTCACGAACTGTAACAGAGACGTGTCATCAATGCCAAATTGATGTCATTGTTTCTGCATTGTCTTCAGAAATTCCATATTTTTCAAGTATCGGATTATATAAACAGCTTCAAC